AGGAGGGGGGAGGATGATGAGGCTGAGATGGACAGGAGAAAAGTGACTTTTTTTTTCTTTTCTTTTTTTGACTGTCCTCGCTCCATCTGGGTTGCAGCTTATTCGGCAAAAAAAACAAAAAACAAAAAAAAAACAAAGAAAGAACCGACGTTTATGAGTACTGTTTATCTGTGTTTCGGCCTGGCTCGTTCTGTCTGAGGACTTCCATTTAGAAAGGAGGGCTGGGAGAGGTGGCGATGTAAAAGAGAGAGTGCGGGGAGGGGGAGGTGATCGTTCCGAAATGTGCCGACATGTCAGAGGTGGAGCGGCGTAGGCGTAGGTGGGCCAAAATGTTACAGGACACAGGTGTTTCATAAACACATGGAAGTGGCTGTTGAGGCGGGCTCTTAATTACAAGTGCAATTCCTTAAGTGCTATCGCGCCACAAGAGGAAGGGATGGAGGAGGAGGGGAAATCTAATTTCAAACTCTAAATTATTTTAATACAAAAACTTGTCCTGTACTGTCAGTAGCTAAAAAGAAAGACAGTCTCCCATCTTGCTTTAGACAGCAGAGGAGATACTGTGCACTAACGATCGATGACTGAGTCACCCAGACTTGAACTTTCTCTACTATGTGGTTTTTTGTTTTTTTTTGTTTGTTTGTTTTATTAACTCAGTTTGAAATCATAGGTCGAGTAGAAGTGTGGAGGAATGAACATGGACAGAAATTGGCTTTGGAAGCACTTACACCCTGAGAGGGGCTAGAAGCACAGACACACACCCTACCTGCTCGCCTGGGGGACAGGGAGAGGAGGGTGCTCGACAGACAGCTGTACGTCCAGGGGTGAAACATTCCACGTTCATGCTCTTTTTCTTTATCGTTTTATATATCGCGGCGGCTGTGTGAGTGTGGAGGACATGATCGCCTACCGTCTTTGTGTGTGCGCTTAGACAAGCCAGGATCATATGCATGGTGTGTTATAAGCTGTCGAGAGCTGGCATAGCCTGTCAAAACAGCTCGACCTGTGTTTGTGTCTCAGACTGCAGCTCTATGGGAATCTCCCCAGGGCCTCCACCACCCACTCACACCCTCATGATGACGACGGTTTTAAAATAAATAAAAAAAATCAAATTCTATAGATATAAATATATATAAATATATATATATATATATATACAAAACTAATATTTTGAA